TAAGGTAAGATTGATCATTATAAAGCAAGGTTAGTTATTAAGGGTTTCACACAAGGGAAAGGAATTGATTACAGAGAAACATTTTTCTCCTATATCAAAGAAAGATTCATTTTGCATCATCATGGCATTGGTTGCACATTTTGACCCAGATTTACACCAAATGGATGTTAAGACTGTCTTTCTTAATAGTGATCTTGAGGAAGATGTCTACATGAAGCAACATGAGGGATTTGTTGCAAAAGACAACAAATATATGGCTTGCAAGTTAAAGAAATCAATATTTAATCTAAAGCAAGCTTCGTGACAGCGGTCAATGAGAACATCATGGATGAGTGTATATACCACAAGGTTAGTGGGAGCAAAATTGTATTTCTGATTTTATACGTTGATGACATGTTTCTTACAACTCATGATCTAGGACTATTGCACGAGGTAAAACAATTCTTGTTTAAGAACATTGATATAAAAGATATAGGTGAGACATCTTATATCATTGGCATTAAGATTCATAAGGATAGGACTCGAGGCCTTCTAGGCCTATCTCAAGAAGCCTATATAAACAAAGTTCTCAAATGATTCAGGATGAAGAATTATTCTACTAATGTGGCTCTTCTAGAAAAAGGGGATAAGTTCAGTCTAGATCAGTGTCCTAAAACTGAGCTTAAGAAAAGGGAAATGGAAAAGGTCTCATATGCCTCAGTAGTAGGAAGCTTAATGTAAGTACAGGTTTGTACTAGATGATATAGCTTTTGCTGTGGGCATATTGGGAAGGTACTAAAGTAATCCTGGTGAGACACATTGGATAGCTACAATGAAAGTGTTTAGATATTTATAAGGCACTAAACACTATATGCTTATATATAAGAGGACAGAGAGTCTAGAAGTGATTTGTTACTCAGACTCTAATATAGGAGGATGCATGGATACAAACAAGTCCACAACTGGTTACATCTTTCTCTTGCTAGAAGGAGCTATTTTGTGGAAAAGTACAAAACAAACATTAATAGCTCTTTCCACTAGCGACACTGAGTATATTGGGTGCTTTGAGGGAAGTTCACAAGCAATCTGGATCAAGGATTTTATTGCTAGGCTTAAGATTGTTGAATCAGTCTTTAGGTCAATTAGAATGTGCTGTGATAACATAGCTACCGTGGCCATATCAAACAACAAAAAGAATAAAATTCGAAGTAAATTTGTCGAATTGAAGTTCCTATGGTTGAGAGAAAGGGTTATGGATGGCCAACTTTTGGTTGAACATATCGATACAAAGAATATGCTAGCTGATCCTTTGACTAAAGGATTGAAACTGAATGAATTTGTTTTACATGTGCCTCGTATGGAACTTCGTCCTTCATTTGATTAGCAGAGGTATGAGCAATGAAATTAATTTATGGTTTATCTTCTCTAATTATAATTATATATACATTTGTGTTTTGAGATTGATAAACATGAAGTAGGAACCGAATAAATATTAAGTTTATCCATAAAGCTATACCCATTAAGTAAGAGTGCTGCTTGTAATGCATGGAAGGTAATACCCGACTTAAGGGGACTTGTTGCCATGATTCTTGTAGTATAGCCTTAGCTTACTTGGGATAGGGTAATTGACCAATAGTACACGGGCTGAGTAGGAGAATGTGAGATATTTTATTATTATTAAAACTATTTAGATATTTAATTAGAAAATCAATAAAATGTAATGAGTGTGGCCCATCATTAAATAAGGTCCAAGCCCAGTAGGTTTATTAATTTCAGTTAGTATATTGTATTTACTCTGATGGTGAGATATGCGATTAAGTTTTTCTGATGGCTGAAAATATTGAGCAATATATTCAGAGAGTGAAAACCCTATCTACTCTTTTGAGGTTCCCTGACTAATAACGGCTAATTTCAATTGTCATCACTGTGATTTTTTTTTTCCAGTCAGAAGAAGAGACCTAAACAATTGTTTTCTTTTGACTCTAGTTCTATTTTGCAATCCTTATCTTCTATCTCAGATCTCGAGATCAATTAGGCAAAAGCCATGGCAAGAGGTAACTTTAAAGTCTTCTGTTGCATTCTTGTAAGAGGATTCACATTTGTATTATCTGTTTTATATACATTTATATATATATATATATGTATATATTTTAGATCTGTCTTACATTAGATGCGCACATTTGTTAATAAAGGCTAATTAAACTTGATTGGAGTGGTCTTCGCACGTTTTGGACTAAATTAATTACAAGTTAGACTAATTGAGAGATAGTATTTCATTGAGTCTACTTTATAAATTCACTTACATAAATTCAGAATTTTCGTGCATATTTTAAGAAGGGAAAAATGATACTTTAGACCACTAGTTAATTCTTGAAATCCTGCAGAAGGACTAAGGTCCTTTGAAGAAAAAAAATTTGAGTAGACAAAATGTCCTTCGTCCTTTTTTTATCTTCAAATGGCTCACCTTGTATTTCTAAGTAGGTTGCTAAATATTTCCAACCTAGTTTTCAATGATAATTAGTAGTGAAGACAATATTTGAATACAAATCTTGTTGTAATAAATTCATTTTCAAATGGCGTATTTGTTTTGGCCAAAAAAAAAATGGCGTATTTGTATTTTCAAGTGGGATGCAAAAATATTTCCATTTTGTTATACAATCTAATTATTAGTTTGAATTAACTTCTTAATTCACAATTCAATTAAAAATAAGATAATTTTCAAGTGGCTTACTTGTCATCTTTCTTTTTTCTTTCTTTCTTTTTTTTTAAATAATCTCCTAGAAGTCATCTTTAATTTGTCTACTCATCAAAGTTTCTCCAAGTCGTTTTATAGAATGCCAATAATTCGCAATTCTCAAATAAAATTAAGCTAAACCACAAAGATGCTTTACTTCCTTCGGCTCAAAATATAAATAAACTTTGACAAGGTTTGGTTTTTTTATCAGCTGCAATTTGTATTTGCATGATCATTTAATGTATTATTTCCCTTTTTACTTTTAACTAATTATTTGTCTCTCAGTTATTTTTTTCCCACTCTTCATAAATAAGGGTGTTTTAAGAAAATAAGTTACATTTTTTTTATATAGTTATTGTCTTCTTTTAACTAACTTTTTAAATTACATGAATTAATTATTTAATGCTGATATTTTGAACTAGAAGAAGTATTATTTCAAAGGAGACATTTTGTGCTAAGCCACCGGGGAAGGAAAGAAAAAACTGCAAAAAGAAAAAGAAAAAGAATAAAGACCCTCATATCTCTGATCAATTTTGCTAAAACTCTCATATGGATTATTAATTTGATTTAATTAGTGGTTTGGACTTATCCGTTTGTTAGTAACGAATAATTAAACTTGACTACATTTTCAAATTTATTATGGTTATAAGTGAGACCAACGACTATACGGTCTTGATAAATAAATTAATTAATTAACCCTTTAGCTTGATCAACCTAATCCCGAATCATATAATATTCAAGGAAATAAAAATTTGAATATTCACAATCTGATCCTATACATGTGAAAAATTTCGCATTTATTTTTTCTCATTAATATATCAGAAAAAAACTGGAAAAGTTACATCTGGTGACCATATAAAAACATTAATTATATTTAAGGATTACAGATTTTAGAAATTTTGAAAAACCAAAAAAAAAAAACTTCTTGTTATTAAAAGTTTCCAGTACGCGTCTTTGTTTTTCTGGAAAAATGTTAAACTGGTAAAAAAAAAGAAAAGATTAAGATAATAACAGAGAATTGAACCAACATCACACAGTGTATATAACTTCATGTCTGATGTTGAATAATTAATTTAGTACAAAATTTAGGCTCATTTACTTATATTCATTAGATCCAGTTTTCCAATCAAATTTTGTCATGTGGAATATTTATTATTAACAACAGTTAAATATAATTTTAAAATTTTATCAATATGAATTTCTACTATTGACAAAAGTTCACTTGTCAAAATTTAATTGAAGAATTGGAGCTAATAGATATATGCAAATGAACATAAATTTTTTTCTCAGTAATTTAATTTGGCTAGGCTAATGATCAAGTCCCTAAAATAAGCGACAACGGAGTAGGTGGGGGCTAAAAAAACACCAAATTTGACCATGAATTTGAGTAACCACATTTAAAAAACTGCGAAGGCCTTTAGACAAATAACTGAATGATAAAAGAAAGAGATTGGCTTATCAAAATTTTTTTTTGAATAGTCTAATACCATAAAAGTTGTCAAATCCAAAACGTAAGTGGTTACCCGCGTATAAGTTAAGTGAAATAATTCTACTTAACTTACTAAACCTAAACAAATTATACCGAATTTCAAATAAATGTTTTCACAACAATAAACATGCTCATTGAACAATACTTAAAAACTATTTAAAATATCAATGAGAGAACAAATTAAACAAAAAATAATCTTGGGGATACATAGATTACCCTATTGCCTACACAACACATTGATTTCACCACCATTTTTAATAGTTATGACGTCATGAGATCCCTCACGACTCATTAAATCATTAAAATATAATCCTTAACCATCACTTTATACGATGAATTTAAAATTGTCTTTAAATTTAAATTTTAAAAATGATACAATATAATATTTACATTTAAATTTAAATTTTCTCTCTATTAAAGTTCCCACGCAGAGCCTTATTCGTTACGTTTTGTGCATGGGATAACATTAAACAAAGCGTACACTATCTTCCTTCATTAATTTTGCTTTTCTTTTTTAGACCTGGCTTCATTGATTTTGTTGACTCTTAACATTTTCCACAAGAGCCCCGGCTTAATTAAAAGTGGTACTCGTAAGTGTGAACGTTTGAAAATATACTTATCATGTAACGTTGGCCAAAAAGGAAAAATATATCAGTAACGTCATGTGCAGCTATGATACTGACCTCTCACCTAACACCAAAGCAAAGCAAATTCAATGAATGAAATCCCCTATAAATTGATTCAATACACATCAGGAGCTTTCCATCAAACGCATTTCAGTTCCAAAAATTGGTAGCCATGTCTATTACAGCATCTCCTCATGACGGCACAAGAAGATGTGCCAATTTTACTCCTAACATTTGGGGTGATAAGTTTCTTCAGTATGCTTCAGAATCTAAGGTATTCTATATATATAGACACACACACACACACACACACAATACGTGCAGCCTATGTTGATCGAATATCTAGCTAGTTTTTTTTTTTTTTTTTTGGGAATTAAACATGTATCAAAATTATGCATGTATATGAACTGTTCGGTTAAACCTGATTATATCATATGAAAATTACATGTTTTTTTCCTGGGCTTTTTCAGGAAGTTGATGACAATGTGGAACATAATGTACAAAAGGAGAAACTAAAGATGTTTATATCCTCCAATGATCAGAGTTGCTCACAGAAGCTAAAATTCATTGATTGGGTGCAGCGTTTGGGAGTTTCCTACCATTTCGAACACGAAATTGATGGAGCACTGGCAAAGATTCATACCATGTATACCAAGAATAACAACGTTATTATGCAGGATGGAGATAATAATCTTCACTCTCTTGCTTTGCTCTTTTGGTTGTTGAGGCAACATGGATATCCTATTTCATCTGGTACGTTTAGACTTCTTCATTATAACACATTTGCATTGTCTCATGAGAAAAGCTACTTTTCTATAATTCAAGCACTTTCTCTAGTTGGTATGCTCAATATATATATATATATATATATATATATATGAAACAGATATATTCAAGGACGTCAAGGAAAAGTTTAATAATGAAAATCTTACTAAAGAAGACGTTGAGGGAATGTTAGCCCTGTATGAAGCTGCACAACTTGGGGTTCATGGTGAGAAAATATTGGATGAAGCTCTTCATTTCACTTACACTCACCTTAAATCCTTGATCGACAGCCAATTGAGCCCATGTCTCAAGGCACATGTCAGCCACTGCTTAAGTCAGCCTCTGCAAAAGAGATCACGTAGGCTAGAGGCAAGGCACTCCATGTCTTTCTACCAGCACCAAGATCCATCCCAAAATCATATAATGTTGCTTAACTTTGCAAAAATTGATTTCAATATGCTGCAGCATCTGCATCAAATAGAACTTGGCACTATCACCAAGTAAGTGAAGTGCCATTTATTAACTAGTAATGAACCGCGGGATGTGCGCGCGCGCACACACATATATAACAGCAATTAAACGGTGTTGTTTATTTGTATTGCAGGTGGTGGAAAGAATCAGGGTTGAGGAGAAAGGTCCCTTATGCTAGAGATAGGTTGGTAGAGGCCTACTTTTGGCCTTTAGCATTGTCTTATGAGCCTCAATTCAGCACTGCAAGAATGATAGCTACCAAACTGGTTGTTACTAATTGTCTTCTTGACGACACCTACGATGTCTTTGGCACACTTGAAGAACTCGAACTATTCACAGAGGCCATCCACAGGTTTAATTAATCACATGTTATAAAGCCACTTATATTTACCAACGTTCTTAGATTGAAAATTAATCATGACTTTTATATATGATATTAGTTTTTCCTTTTGATTATTTGATTATCAGATGGGATATAAGTCTCACTGAATCACTTCCAGAGTGCATGAAAGTGGTGTTTGAAGTAGTTTTACAAGTGTGCAGCGAAGTAGAGATGGTGACTACAAAAGAAGGGACATCAATTTTTGTGATGCCCCATGTTAAGCAAGCTGTATAGGCCATTACTTTATAATTTAAGTTCAACACATATATATGATGTTATATATTAATTTTCATAGGTTTAATTACATATTCTGGTTGTAGGTTATTAACTTGGTTAGGGCCTACTTGGTTGAAGCAAAATGGTGCAATGAAGATTATGTTCCAAGCTATGAGGAGTACAAGGATAATGGAGTTGCATCTTCTACTATCCCTTTGCACATAACCTCATTTCTAGGCCTTGGAAACCTTGCAACCAAAGATGTGCTGGATTGGATTGCCACAAATCCGAGAATAGTTAGAGCTTGCTCACTTATTGGTAGACTTATGGATGACATGGCCACTCATAAGGTACAACTTATACAATAAGCATGCACTTGCACACAATCAGAAGAAATTTGAATACAACAAAGCTTTGGAATTAAGTGTAAAAAGGTTAACCCCTGGAGCTAGCATAACATATTTATAACAATTGAGAGTTTTAAATAATAAAATATAAAAATCATTCATTGACAAAGAACAAAACTTGATGTATGAATAATTTAAAATTTCGATATCAAGTTTCAGAAATAACAAACGAGATACAAATAATGGAGTGAATCATACTATTCTTTTTAGTTTCTCTTAAAATTTATAAATCTTCTCGTTACTTCTAAAACTTACACATATTTCTCTTAAAAATAAAAAATAAATTTTATAAAGCATATATATCACACCTAGCTAAACTATTTGGAAGAAACAATAAAAGATGTTTTATGGTTTATTTTTTGCATGAACATGTAGTTTGAGCAAGAGAGAGAGCATGTTGCTTCAGGAGTAGAATGTTGCATGAGGCAGTATGGAGTTTCAGAGAAAGAAGCCTATAAAATAATCAACGACGATATCAAAAGCTGCTGGAAAGATATTAATGAAGAGTGTCTGAATAATCCACATGACGTTTCAAAGTCTGTGCTTGATTGCATCGTCAACATGGCTCGAGTATGTGAGGTTGTCTATGAAAACCTACAAGATAGATTCACTAATGGCCAGTCCCTCAAGCATTACATTGTCCAACTCCTTCTGGATCCCATACAGATTCAGCCATGACATGCTTTATATATTTATACTATAATACTTGTTATTTGAACTTGTTGTGTCGTCCAAGTCTAATGGGTGATATAGATATATATTCCTAGCTACTTCTAGGTTGTCAGATCATCTTATTTGTTGCTATGTTTATAAATTTAAAGTTTGTGTGTGGTTTTCTTTTGTTTGCAGCATGAATATAAAAGTATTACATTAGAAAATCTTATGCAATATTAATAAATATCTTTGCGGTTGTTGATCAGTCACATGGCTTTTGGCTTTGTAACAAGTCTAAAAGTCTTGCGATAATACAACACATTATATTTGAACAAATGAAAATGCGGCCAATGGGCTAATAACATCAGCATATGCGTGATCAGCAGAAATTTAATTTGATGTTTGATTCAATGCACACAAAAATAGTTTTAATATATTCCATGGATTTAATACTACCAATTTTTAATATAAGAACTAGTTAGAAATTCAATTTAATCCTAAATATAAGATCATAATCTATTTTATCTCTAATATTTTATTAATTTTTTTCCAAGTAATCCCATGGCGTCATCTCAAAAAAAGAAAAAAATTCCTATGATGACTACATATGTTAAGGAGTTTCCATCAAATGGTATTTTCAATGCACAAGATTAATAAGGATATTTTTAAAAATATATATTTATTATAAATAACTAACTTAATTAATTTTCTTAATGTTTACAAATTAGTTATATAGTTATTTTATTAAGAACTGGAGGTACGTAGTATATAAGAGAATTTTTGACATAATTGTTTTGGTCCAGACAATAAGAAATAAATGGCTTACATCTGATGGACAAATTATATTATTTCAATTATAGTTTTCATTCAACTCTGAGTAGTACTTAATAATTTACGAGAATAGTCAAGATCATTCTCTTTCTATTATTCGGAAGCATGCTATTCAGCCTCATATACTGAAGTATGCTGATTCTCGCTATACAAAGATTACGCATGTGCATTTCTATCTGGAGAGCGCCGGTTTAGGTCTAACAGCTTCTATATATAGCCCAAATTTAAGATTTTTAATCGATAATTTTTAAATCTAAAATCATTTTTAAAAATTGTCATTTAAAAAGATAATCTTTATTTTAGATTTTGCAAACTTTAAAATATTAAAATACTTAAAATACAAAAAGTTAAATTATATTAAATGTGAACCGTTCAATTTTAGTGATTAAAATAGCTTTGTATATAAAAATATATCATGTTTAAATCAAATTGAATATCATAATAGAAAAATTGTTTTGACAGTAGAATAATCAAATAATTTAAATAATTTTTTTTGATAAAGATATATTTTCATGTCATTATATTTTATAGGGTTAAGGTGCGCCCAGCACCCCGAACTATTTACCCAGGTGCGTCCAGTGGCCTAAAGTAATTTTGGGTGCATCCAGTGTCCTAAACTAATTAAAATGGTGCGTCCATATCCTAGGCTAACATAAATGTTATGTTTAACCGTTACTTTCCTGACTCAACTTAAAGTTGACCCCATATATTCTACATGATAGACACATGGGCACCCGATGTGTATTATTCTTACTCAAAAGTCAATTTATTTAGAAGAAGAGGAAGGAAATAAATTCAATTTTGAGTAAGAATAATACATATCAAATGTCCATATGTCTACCATTTAGAATATCTGGGGTTAACTTTAAACTGAGTCAGGAAATTAACGGTTAAACATAATATTTCTGTTAGCCTGGGATATGGACACACCATTTTAATTAGTTTAGGACACTGGATGCACTCAAAATTACTTTAGGCCACTGGACGCACCTGGGTAAATAGTTCGGGGTGCTGGGCGCACCTTAACCCTATTTTATAACCAGAGAATTTAAAAGATGCTTTTTTAAGGTGAAAAAAAATAAAAAGTGGATAATTTCTTGAAATTATGTATAATAAAAAAAATCATGAAAAATATTTACATCAAGTTCTTTATATGTATTATGTCAAGTGCTTCAATTACACATAAACATATCTCACATTTTGTTCAATGAGGGTAATAGTTTACTGATAATATTTTAAAAATAGTATACATGGCTAAATTTGATTGGAGACATGAAATAATCGATATAAGGAATTTCATATAAATAATACATTATTTTGACCTTATTAATAATTAATAAATATTAAAGATGTTTGGACAAAAAATATAAAATGTAAAGAGAAAAGTTGGGGAAAAAAATGGGACAGGTCTTACACCCTATTTTCTCTCCAATTTTTTTCTTTTTTTTTTAATTTTTTCCTATCTAATAGGGTCAACATTTCAGCTAAGCCACTGGGAACGAAAGAAAGAAAATTCTAAAAAAATAATAATAATAATTACCCTTATATTTCTAATTAATTTTGCCATGACGAAAACGCTCATGTGGATTTATTAATGTGATTTAATGTGTGGTTTGGACTTATCCGTTAGTAAGTGACGAATAATTAAACTTGACCACACATTAATTTATGGTTATAATCATCAACTATCAAGCTATCAGTCAGCCGCCATTGAAATCTTGTAGTAACTGATTAATTTAAAAATAAGTCGGATGTGATATTATAGAACCTAAATATATTTAATTAATAAGATTTGAATAATATTTTGATTGAAATTTGAATTAAATGAAAAATATTATTATTAAATGAAATTTCAATTGAAGAGTCAAATAAAAGAATTAATAATTAATTTTGAATTTAAATATTATAATTGAAATTCGAATATATTAAATTAACTGAGAAACATTATTATTAAATAATATTCCATTTCATATAGATTTATAATTAAATACTAATATTTCAAAAATAGAACACATAGTCATTTAATTAGAAAATTTGATATAATGAGTATAAGAAATTTGATGCAAATATTATTTAATTTTCAATATATAAAAAATTGGATCGTGTTAACTAGCCTTTAGTCCGGTATGGTTTAGCCTGTGAACCGGCTTCCTATCAATCCGGGAAAAAACTGGGATGAACGAGAAACAACCTGTAAAAATCGGGTAACCCACTGGTTCGTGCGGGTTGGCCAATTTTTTTTTAAAACTTCTTTCTCGCTCATTGTTCGCCAGAGAAACCGTGGAAGCTGTCGTGCTTTGCCTCTGCTTGTCAAAGAGAATGGGGAAGAAGCGTAATGAGTGACTGATGCGTGTCTAAAGAGAAAAGAAGCTGTGATGGACTGATACAGACTGAAGGAGGAAAGAGAGCCTGCACTCTGCACGTTCAACGAGGAAAGATGAAAGGGCAAAGAAGTTGTGTATGCCTCGTCATGCGTGCACGTTGGGAAGGGCCGAAGAGAACAGGTTAAAAGGTCGAATGCGAGTGATCACGTGAGGGAGAGAATAAAATTGAGGAAAGAAGGAGCAAAGGGAGTTAAAAAAAGAAATACAAAGAGGAGAGAACTTACCCCTAGCAGTTTGGCTGAATGGTACGCGTGTATGTGGGGTATATGCGTTCCGGATTCGTTCCCATCCTCTTGTAACCAAAAAAACAGAGGGAGAATTTATTGGATCGCCGGGAGGAGGAGGAGGAAAATAAAAAAAATTCATATGTATAACCACGTTATAATATGAGTAATTATTTAAAGATTTAATATTATTTATTATAATTAAAATATGAATATTTTAACTCAACCCATTAACCTTTAAATTGCTGTCTTAACCAGTTTAGTATTCAGTTTAATTTTTTATTTCTTATCATTTTCAAATTTAATCAAATATACTAATTTATGCATTACACGCGCGAAATTTCTAGTTGAGACTGGGAATTGAGGTTTTGATTGATAAGCGTTTTAGGCTGATCAACTTACCCACGCGTCATTCTTAGCAAATTGTACGATTCCACTTTGGATAAGAAGAGATATAAAGAATGTTATTTAAAAAAGAAAAAGAAAAGAGATAAAGAAAAGTAAGATCCACTTGTCAATATAATATTCAAGGGAAGAAAAATTGTGACCCAAAAAAGGAAATAAAAAATTTGAATAATTCTAAATTTATTTTAGAAATTTGAGGACCTTATAAAAAAATTAATTATTTTCAAGGATCACAAATTTTATTTAGCCAAAAAAAGATCACAAACTTTAGAAATTTTGATAAATAACCAAAACTTCTTGTTAGAATTAAAATTTTTCACTATGCGTCTCTATTTTTTCTTTAAAAAAAATTAAACCGGTCAAATTGTAACATCCCGATTTTTAGGCCTAGAAGAATCAGAAATAGCCTGAATGAGATAGGCTACCAGACCCCTTTTTAGTAGAGGTCTTAAAGATGAGAAAGGAAGCTAAAGCAGTTTTAGGGACTAAACTGCAAAGTGAAGGTTTTAAGGGGCTAAAGGGTAATCAAAGTTAGAGGCTCCAATAAAGTCTCAAAGGCTCAGAAAGAGAAAAGAGGCCAGATGCAGACCAAAGGTTAAGTTAGAAGCCTCAAAGAGATGGTTTTATGAGGTTGAGCTTAAGCAGGGGTAAAACCGTAAATTTCGAAAGTTACGGCTATCAGGGGTAAAAATGGAAAGTACTTAGAAAATTCTAAGAAAATCCCAGAAAATGGGAAATAATATTCTAAGACTCTTTTGTGAAGAGAGATGATGAAAATACCCCTGAGGTAACTTAAAAGGAATTTATAAGTTTATGGCTCAATTTGAGATGTAGAGGTAGATTTAATTGTTTGAGTCATAAGGAAACCTCAGAAAATTATGGTAAAATGGGGATGTATGATCTAAGAGACTATAGAAAATTATAAAATTAGTCTCATCCCCAGAAAACTAGCAAAATGGCTTTAAGAATATTTAAAAGCCAGTTGTGCCAAAAAAAGGCATTTTAAAGAATAATTTTTAAGTGAGGCTACAGGTTGAGTTATGACTTGAGAAAATTCACAGATTTTCTCTAGAATATGAGGAATTTTATGATATTTTTGGATGAATTTTTGGAGCTCTGGATTGAATAAAATGCTCCATTCAAATATTAAATAATTGTCCCCTAAATAGGAGACAAAACCAAAGAAAATATCTAAGAGCTATCATGACGATGCTGAGTCAGCGTGCTGAGTCATCAAGCGTAATCATGACACCGACGAGTCAGCGTGCTGAGTCATCAAGCGTAATCATGACACCTACGAGTCATCATGCTGAGTCACCAGAAGATATTTATGGACAGCATAAAAATCAGAACGCAGTACGGGAATATTTTAGACAGTCTTTTGTCTACCCGTTATAGTGAAATCTCTACTGCATGACTCAGTAAGGTTAAGTAGCCTGTCAGTAGAGCTAATTATTTTCATCTATGCTCCTCTGAGATGGCGCCATATAT